ATGACTAAGAGATAATTCAGATGAGCCTACAAAATTACCTTATAGATGTCAGGTAATCAACAAAACGAAAAGATAGCTCCTAATACCTTGAAAAGATCTCCTTGTTCAGTTTGCAGAAGGAAGAAGTACAACAGCTTCGTCTTGTGGGTAGCTGCGCATATAATCATGAGGGAGCGATCAGGATCATCGAGATCATTCTGGAACCAAGTTGTTTTGCATTGCACAAAAATGAGCAGCAAAGAAACCAACCCTTCTGCGCGGAATCGGGCACCTTATGTCCGGTTGTTCACCCAAGTTTTTGTAAACGAGATAATTCTCACAGCACAGAATCACACCGGATGGTCCTTCGTTTCCTCCAGGCACTGAAAGATGGAATTTTCATATAAAAGCTTAAGAGCCTTCCGCCTATCTTGAATCACATGCCTGCAATAATCATAGTCGCCTTATCATCAAGAGGTTCTGCATATTTCCTCACTACATGGTTCAAACCAAGGTCGAGCTCATAGAAGGTAAGAGTTTGCTTGGTGGATTGAAGAGCTTCACCAGTGGGATCGTGTTCGGCATCCTTAATGGGAAACTTCATACTCCTTGCCCGCAACAAAAAGTGAAACATGAAAACTAACCTCGTAGTCAAATTCAAGGCAAGCAAAGGTCGGATTTTCAAATCCCACATCAATGCCCACCATTCCGTAACACAAAGTGTACTGCTTGTGCGCTTCGAGAGGAGATGAGATAGTTAGCCGAGCTTCGGCGTCACGATTCATTATGTACACTAACTTCTGACGCTCAATTGCTCCTAAATTATGATGCACAAGCATAATAAACAAAAAGGTGAAAATCCTCAAAAACTAACCTATCATGATGGCCCGTCCCTTCGGGTCTGCGGCAAGATAATGACCGGGAACAATTCGACGACATCCTGTTTTACCGAAGGTTTCCTGAGAATTGGGTTTGATGAATTATTCATAACAAAGAAGATCAAGAAGAAGACAAAAATAATTCAGAAATTTACCTGATGCACGCGTACGAACGAATTCTTCTCAGTGGAGTACTCAAGCACAACAATACGACCAGAGTCAGAACCGACCGCAATGTAATCTATCGTATAGTAGTATGTAAAACAAGCAACAGAGGGCACGAACAAGTAATAAAAAATACAGAAGCCAGAAAGTTTATTAGTCACTATTCACATATTAAACATACCTTTTGTACCACCCGTTAGTCGGAATGGCATAAGAGAGCGGAATGATACCGAATACTTCGTGACTGCACAACACCTAAATAAAGGTAGATAAATACCTAAATAAATATTACTTATGGAAAGATTCTTGAGAGTGGACGTACCTTGATCTTGCCTGTGGTTGGGTCACAAAATAGGAGTTGCAAGGTTGAGCCTCGCCCAACACAAATTTCCTAAAATGGCAGATTACATTGCTTGGCACTATTCCACTAATACTGCCTCAAAATTCCAAAATTTTAATTTCGTCAAAACATTGCCAATAGAGGTAATTGCGATACCCTGATTACGACTATGACATTCATTTTGTAAGCTGGCCGCCATTTTGTCACGACGGCTGGCTTCACCAAATTAGGTATAAAACTGTATATAGAAGTTATTCGGTGTCCTAATTATGAATACATTCATTTCTGGTCCAATTTTCTGCTCATCTGCGCCCTCGCACTGCTTCGATCACGATCCGGACTGATCCTCCGAGAAGAGGACGGCTGAGGGTGAGGAAACCAGTCATCCTGTGGGCGGAATCCCCATTCCCCAATAAGCTTAGCCAAAGGCAACATAAGCGAGAGAGTCCAGGAGAGCAGAAAATAACAGCGGCAACTCCAAAAACTAATGACATACTCGTAATCAGGTCACCAAATAAGCCCTAACCACAAGTTTACACCAAATTTGGGGGAAACAGCCGTCAGTAACTCTTTCCAACTGAGTACCAGGTGACCCTAACTCAACGCATATGATTCCAGAAACTAACAAGTTTCTGTCAAAGAAAGAAGTCGCGTCATAGTAGCTTTTTTATTCTTTCGTCTTCAAAGGATATTGAATGGCGCTATATACTACTATTTTCTTCAAGTGTCCTCCTTCATTTGAAGAATCTGTACAACTATTTCACAAAATCGATATCCATTGAAAACCAATCAATAACGAAAATAAAATAAAAACTAATCCAACCCAAAAAGTACTTTATAAATATTGGAAGGTACCTGTGCTTTTGGTGTTCCGGAAAAGTTTCCATGGACAGCTTGATTAATGGCGGTTTGACTTTGAAGAGTAAGATTGTAAAGATGCATATTTGTTGGTTGTGATCGTATAACT